TTGAGGTGTTCAAATGATAGATGCTATGTTATGAGCGACCATTTCAACAATATCTCATGTTAAGGATATATCCTCCATCATTTTCTAATTTATTGCTCCTTCCAGCAGCTTGATGTTGTGTTCTGTGGGGCGCCTATTTAGCAGAGACCTATGATTCCCAAATGTTATTGTAAAGCATGGACACTTAGTTGAGTGCAATTCCATATAAAGATGCCCGCAATTGCAGAGGCTTGTGCAATTTGAGATTATAAAACAAGTCTCTGTGTACAAAAGGAGATGGTCGTGACTCTGAATCTACCGTGATAATACGTTTTACCTTTTATTCTATATCTTAATATTGTTATTATCCTTTATCATTAGCATTATCTTAACTCACTTCAACACTTATATTATTATCATTGTTATTATAACTACTACTGTTAATATCACTCTGGTTGCAATTCTTGTTATATTCTCTAATGACTAATGGTTTATCTTAGTGATGCAATTGAAGCGTAATGCAATTTATCTTTATTTTGATCTCTCATACTCTCTCTCCCCTTATCTATTTGAACATGACCTAGAAAACATTCGCACCTGTCTTTCTGCATGACTAATACAATGTGGTTTGTTTATTTATCAGCCTCATATCTCCCAATGTAATTTCAAAAGTATGTATATTCGTGTATGTGGAGTATTCAGCAGACGATTTCTACCGAAAATAGATGAATTCATCAAAAATCCTCCTTCATTAACTGATATTGGTTATCTTGACATGACGTAAACGTAATCTGGCCATCTCAAATGATGAAGTTTCACAACTGCATAGATTGATTTCTCCTTCTGACGCACTTTTTCACTCGCAGTCACAACTGCGTACCACTGAGCACGATAGCATGACAGAACATCACCGCTTACCGTTAAGGTCAGTTAACTGCCTTATTTCCTCCAATTTGAACTGTAAGATACGAAACATACATGCACCCACACAATCCGATTCACCTACCTACCACCTTCCATTATTCCATGGAAATCAGAGGATACTCAGCTTGCAACTTGATAGTATTTTATGCAAAGAAAGCTGCATTCAATTGTCCGCAGATATTAAAATAAAATGAAGTGTCGTTCTAGCTGTAACCTCTACTAGTAAACAGAATTTCATAAAAATATTAAAGTTTCTTTTCTAATGTTCTTCATATTTAATTAATAAACTAATATTACTATTTTGTTTTCTTCTTTTCTTAGTCATTCTCTGCTTCACCTATAATCTGCTGTATTTTCTGTGTTGAATATTATAAAAAATATTCTCATTTAATTATCTTTGATTAAGTCACGTTTATTTTGTCTTAATTAAGTAATGCAAGCAATGTGATACTGAGGTGAACCTCTGTTACTCTTGTCAGGTTGTTTTTCTTTGTTTATTTGTTTGCTTATTATGTTGAAATATTTGCGTTTGTTTTTCTCTTCTAAATCCATTTATTACTCAGTATAGTGTGTTGTTTACTCAGTTAGCTTTTAAAGCGTCCTTGTCAGTCTAATTAGTCTTCTAGTGAGTCAGAATGTGAGAGTACATTCACCAATTCACAAATTATTAGCATCTGCAAACTACTTTACATAAGAAAGACTGTTCAGTGTTTTAGCACTATCAGCGGTGTATTCGTTCCTCTGATGTTGGTTTTCAGTGCTACTCTGACTGACATCAATTCATGGTTAAACATAAAACAAATGAAATTCTTATTAATTGACTCTTCTTTATTGTCCTGATGCCAGCTATTTACTATCTGTGGTGCTAATTTGTCTGATGTGATTTCCAGTGATAATTCGTGACCAGTGAGGTCCTCAGACGTGAGAGTGCGGACATATTCTCGTCGCGCATAACACTGATTCTTGGCAGTCACGTTGAAATCACCAATCCGTAGGAGTCAAATTTCGTGTGCTTGGAATTTGAGTGAAGTCTCGATAGCTAAATGGTATACGAGCTTGTCTTACAATCGGGAGGTCCTGCAGTCCAACATCAATGTATACATCCTTCCGAAGATCCCCAAACTACGCTCACATAGCAGCTAATCAGCACCACCTGGTGTTTAACAGTGCTTATCTGACCGATACCAATCCATCATTGAACTTGAAACTTGTCAAGATATTGTTCATTTTATACACATCAAATTCATTCCACTACAAATTTGCTGGACACTGTGCAAGGAGCGACCATTTTAACGAATATCTCATGTTAAGGATATATCCTCGATCATTTTATAATGTATTGCTCCTTCCAGCAGCTTGATGTTGTGTTCTGTGGGGCGCCTATTTGGCAGAGACCTATGATTCCCAAATGTTATTGTAAAGCATGGTCACTTTGTTGAGTGCAGTTTCATTGGAATAATTTTATTTTCAATATCACACAGTGATGGAGTATTAAAAAGTCATTTAGTTTCTCTACGAAAGCTGTGTATCGATATAACTCCTCACACGTTTAATCTGAATGACGAAAGCCGTTACCGGAAATATCGAAAGACTTAAATGGAAATCGGAGAAACAGAAGGAGGGAAAATACATATAAGACAAATTGTGAAACCGGAGTTTCACATCCATCGTACACATTAGCAGCCTATATGGAAAAGATAATGCCTACATTTTGATAGCTTTTATCCACATATCTTTAAATGAGCATTAGTCAAGACTTTTTACCATACAGCTAGGAGATTTTGCTCGACAGAGTGATAAGGGGAAGAATTTAAGTGTCTCGAAAAGATGTTGAAAGGCAACGGTTACTCTCGAAGGTTCATTAACAAGGACGGAATGTCAGAATGCTCAAATATCAAACAAAAAAAAAAACACAATGGGGAAAATAGCGCACCTACATGCAAGTTGATTTTAAAAGTGCAAATATTACACCAATTTTCAACCGAAAATTGAGGACATCACTAGGCAGAGACTATCCTGTATCCAAGCTAGTTCTCGTTCTATCGAACAACGTGCTCTTCGGTACAATTAAACGTCGACGGATATATCTTTATCATGTTGACTCTAAATGGATGTGGAACTTTACATGTATCTGGGGGATAAGTTACATTGGAGGAACAGAAAGTAGGGCATACTTCTTATTTTTTGATCATGCACCGAAAAGCCTATGTCAAAAGAGAACAAATGCTTTGAATAGTGCCATCGCCAGACATCTCCTTCACACGGGTCATGAGGTGGAGTTCACAAGACTATTCAAAATCATCAGTAGGCGAAAGAGGGTTTGATTATCTTGTTAAGTTTGCCTAAGCAATTTCCACCAAGCGCCTGAAAACCGATTTATGTGTTCAGAAAGAAGCAGTTATCAGTCTTTCTTTGCCCTAGTAACTCAATATTTTCACCCTCTCTTTCATCTGATTGCGTAATTTCAAAAGCTTCCATTGTGCATGAACATTATTGTTAGGATAACGCGTTTATTAATGCATATATATTATGGTATGCATATATTGATTTGTTTTCTGATAAAAGGATAAAAATTGGTTACTGTAGTAGAGTATAACTATTTTATAGACAAAATGTTTATTTTGACAATGTCACACACATTGACATTTCAAGCACAAATTATTCCTCATATTCCTATCTATGTATGACATGATTTTGATATGATATTGATAATATTATAACCAATATTTTGTAGTTAAAACATGAAATATTACTGTATAACACTTTGTAATTTTTTCCAAATAAAAATGTTATCGATAATGCTTGATTTATTTTAATGGAATCCTTATGCGATTATGTTAAGATTGTTTCAGTAGGTATGCTTAATAATGACTTTGGGCTGTAAGTAGTTGATGAAAAGCCAACGAAATGAATGATGCTACCAATTTATCCTATAAAAACTGTTGTTCTTGTTTCTGATTGTGTAATGCCTACTTCTTAATTCACTTTGCTAATTATGAGATTACCATTACAATCTACCTTGGGTGAATACAGGAGTTTTAGCTACGATAAAACAGCCTGTATAATCAAGTTAAATGAACATAAATAATCAGTCAACCTCAAGCTGCTGCAAGGATAAATCAATTATCAGATGATCGAGGATGTATCCTAAACTTAAGATATTCGTTAAAATTGTCGCTCCTTGCACAGTGTCCAGCAAATTTGTAGTGCAATGAATTCGATGCGCATAAAATGAACAATATCCGAACTAATTTCAAGTTTGACAATGGGTTGATATCAGTTAGAGAAGCGCTGAAGAAAATCAGGTCTAACTGAATAGCTGTTTTGTCAGCCTAGTTTGGAACTCTTCGGAAGTACGTAACCAATGAGGTTTGAGTGCCGGACCTTCCGATTTCAAGAGAAGCACTTAGAGCATTCAGCCATTTAGACACAAATCAGTCGGCAAGTCATGAATTCCCACCCCTACCAGTTGGTGATTTTAGCGTGACCGGAATCAGAAAGTGTCATCCTCGGCGGGAATTTGTCCACACTCTTGAGTGATTGAACCCTGCTGGTTAGGATTTATCATTTGAAATCACACCAGGCATATTAGTGCTGCAGGTAGTCACTAGTGAGAATCAGAATAATTTTGAAGATTTATTTTGTAAGAATTTGATCTTTTTATGTTTCACCACAGATTGATGGCAGTCAGAGAAGTATTGATAACCAAAATCATTTGTATATATCCACCGTGGATCCGTCTAAAATCAAGAATTGTTACAAGTTAGAATTCATGCAGTGGCCATTGAGTTGGGCCTTTTTAGTTGAAAGGTCTACAAGCTTGCCATGTAACTGGAAGATTCTGTGTTCGAACTTCAGTTGGTGAATAGTGCCGATGAGTCCCAAACTAGGGTGAGGAAATATATGTCCAGGACTCCTTGGTCTTTTTCAGTGCTTTTCTAATTGTTATCTATCCATGGTGAAAATTAAAGCGAATCTCGTTACTCTATTCGAACTAATCATTGAAAAATCTACTTTGTTTGAAATAGGTATGAGTCTATTTTGTGAGAAATGATTGGTTGATTTACCTTCATATGCATGATGAACATGGACAGCAACAGTGACCATGAATCAGTATACTATTGCTTTTTTTTGTAGCCAATGTACTACTGACTTTATGTGCTACGTAGTATGCTGTGTTACTTGCAAAATGTACCTGCATCTTTAGATAGGTGAAAACAAAACTGAGATACACATTTGTACACCATATACATACATAGTGTGTAATCACAGATAACTATAAAAAAGCTATATGTGAGAAATGTAGTCATAATATTATTTTGCAGTAGATAACAGTGACAACACACACTGTTGAGAGATCTGGAATCATGCAAAATTTATTACTACAGGCGTTACTTTGCCTTCTACTTCTATTATCGAACAACAATGCATTTGATGAATGTGAGTTGATTATTAATCCTTTTTTATAACTTGTCAAAATATTATCCTTTTGCTTTTTGGAGTTTTTTTCTTGGATACGAAATTTTCTCAAGTTTATTTACAATAGTTAATTACTCATCACTATAACTATTTAAAGGTGAATTTAAGTATACATTTAGTTATGATTAGAAATTAGATAGAGAAACATTGATCAGCGGAACGCGTGTTTCGTTCTGGCTCAAATGTCCGTGAAAGCGTTGATTGATAGTAGGACTGTATTAGTGGCTTGACTGAAGTTAGAATGCCTGAGCCTGTAGATTTCAAGTCAGTGACTGAATGATCGACACACCAGCTTCATAAACTGGTAGGGTAGAACTCTGGTGAAATCACAGGTGGATAATGTAGAGGAGTCCTTAACTACAGAGAAATAGATGCTTTTCTATAACGCTGTAAACTAATGTTATTTCTACCCTCAAACTAATCAGACTTCACTAGTAGAAGACCTGAAATCGAAGTTTTTCAGTCAAGCTTATATTTATGTTATTTAATTTAAATAAATTCCTTAGATATCTTGAAATGTGTATGTGTAAGAGTTCGACTTTCTCTTCTGATTAAATTATCCACAGCGAAGTAAACTCAATTTGGTCTGATTATCTTAACACCTAGATAAGCAAGTCGTGTTGAGTTTAACTTCTGAAAACATCTCGATTTACACGACATTGTGTAACGACAAGGAATATCAATCTAAAACTAACTAACGGAAAGTTGTGTAACATTTAAAAACCTATAGGATTTCCTGTGATTGAATTCATTTCACACACTTCAAGTTTAACTCCAAGCTGTGAATTAGGTTAAATTTTTAATCCTTCACCGGTAAAAAATTTCCTCAGTGGTAAAATTAACACAGGTGTAATCAGAATAAAAGCAGGCTGCTTTCACTATAGTCTTCGTTATATTATGTGCAGTGTGTTACTGGTTATACTGATTTACCATCCTTTTCATGTCGCATATTCCGAAAACGTTTATTTCCCGATGTGTAATTAAACGAGCAAAATGAGGTTATAAAGCGGGATTTAATGTTTCATCAAATTTCGGTAGAACTCCTGCTCAGCTGAATACTTATGTAATATATGATTATATTCCAACACAGTCACAAAAGTGTACACTGAGATTAAGGATAGATATATGTTTAAAACGATACAGATATTCATAGATAAATGGATAAAAAATAAACATAGCTGGATAGGTAGGTAAATCGCAAAACGGAGAGCAACTGACACGCATTAATGCGTCTCAGTGAACCGGTGAAAAGAGTGTGAGAGTGGCTTTTAGTGTATTGTAGTGTGGTATAGAAGAGTGTTTAGCAGAGTATTTGATTAAATAATGGAATGCTATATGATTCATTTGATTGCTGGAAGAACTTCCTCGCGAATCCAAAGTTATGAAAAATCTCTGTGTTTTGATTTCAGATTTATTCGTCGGCGACCATGAAGAAGGTAATACTTTGGTGTTTTATTGGTTAACAGCATTCTTCACAGTCTTTATGAGATGTTCTTCGCATCAGGCTCATTTCTCACTCACTCCCCCACCCAGAGATACTCTGAATTATTCAGTGACAATGATTTCGTCATTTTTTTCATTTCTTCTGTGTGATGTGAAGTTGTTGGTGTTCTCTGTGAGTGAACGATTCGGTGGTGCAGTTTAGGATCAATGAGAAAGAAGTTGCTTCAGAATTACTGCCTAGTCCCGCAATAAATTCGTTTACTGAGACGTACTCACTTGCTATACTTAATTTAAATATTCCACATGACCTGGGTCAATTTTATTTAGAATTGTGTGTTGTGACCTGTTGTCGTCAGATAGGTTTATGTCGTTTAAGAGTGCACACGCTTATTTCTCATTAGGAATGAGCGATTTGATTCAACAATTTAAAGTTTAGTATTCACTTATCCATTGCGAATTCTTCGAAGAAGAATTTGGTGTTGTCCAATGAAAGATGCAATTATTGTACGCATGGAGACGTATGAGATGACGAGATTGAATGCAGATTTTTTCTAGTTAAAGTGAATTTCAGTCCTATTATTAGTGCTCCACGCAATGGAGTTACATCTGTAGCATAGAATATCTCATGTAGTTATATTTTCCTTCGTTACCACGACAGGCATACTGATAGTTACAAAGTCAACTAAAAATATGCGTCAGAGCATTGTGCGAATCCAGGATATAATTGACTGGTCCGGATAATAAGAATTACAGACAGTTAGATGTATTGCGAAGCAGCACATTTGATGATCATTCATGCTGATCCGTGTGCAATTTGCTTTTTATACCAACTTGTTTTTTCAGTCAGTGTGACTTTTAGATGTTTGTTATTGGTGTACTTTTTCTTAATAGCGACCACTTGAATCTCATTGGAGCCATTGTCTTCCATTTTATTTTCAGTTAATGCTAACACGTTTATTACTCAATGTAAGAGTTTTCCACAGTTTATTTCAGAGATCTTCTTTCCCATACACTAGGCGTTTTACTGACAGACTACTGAAAGCTATTGAAGACGGTTTTGTGGAATATCTCCATATGCTTTAAAAATGTGTGTTTGATCCCGAAACGTGTGTTGAAATGTTAGCTTCATTTCTGCTTATCAGATTTTCAATGTGCTGCTCACATTCCACCATGACTTTGTCCTATCTGTTGTTGAGTCTTTGATCCTAGAGACATGTCACAACATTTTGCGACACATGCCCAACCCACTATTTTGGCAGTTATAGGCTTCAATCTACAATAGCTGCTGGTGATAGATTTTCTGCAGTTATCTGAATATTAATTGTAAAGACATTATGATGTAGTCAGCTGATTGTCCAATGTAAATATTAAGCTTCGATTTCCATCGAACTATAACACACATTGTTATTATTGCTGTATGCTGAATATAATTCATTCATGGAGCGAATTTCACCGAATTTCAGAACAGCATCGTTGTATTGCTGAAGAATCAATATCATCATGATTATTTTCATGGGAGTAGGGATCTTTCGATAAAATTGAGTAAGCAAGGGCAGTTTTACTTCGTAGTGGTTGAGTACATTATAAGATGAGTGTGACTTCTGATTAGGAAGATTTTTGTTGTTAGTTTGTGGACTTCCTAAATAGTTGAATCCACGAGCTATCTGATTTTATATTGCGTCTTCAGTAGGAAGCAATTATTCCGCATTCTAAATCATCATACGGGAGAAATTTATTTCTGTATGGTTTACTTGGTAAATAATAAAGTGGTAATTAAATAGCCTGATGGAAATATTTTTCTCTATTTCAGATGATCCGGATTCAACACTAAACGTATACGCAGATTCATACCGCCAAGTTGTGAATGATAAATGTATGTGCTTATATCACCGAAAATTATTTTATTGTTGTCTGTTTACTTCAGACTGTTCTGTAATGATTGGTGTTCAGTTCCTCCTATTACTCATGTCGCTTGACCTGATTCGTAGACGGCTAATCAACTAACTCAATCACTGACAATACTGAGAAGCTTTCTAAAAATCTTCATTGCAACTGCACTTCTTCATCAAAATTCAGGGAGACATATTTCTGATGTCAGCAGATGTATGTAATGTCACCTAATTGTAATAACTTGCAAATCGTTATCGTGGAGTAGAGCAGGAAATCGGTGCATCATCGTAAGTGAAAGTGCTTTATCCACTTCAGGAAACTTGATAATCTCCAGGAGAATACTTTGCATCCATGTGAATATTACAGAACGAGATGAGTTGAATAGCAATTGGACAGTAATGCCGATGAGACTGAAATGCTTAATCACTTGGCACTGGTTACCAGTGGATTGTGAGAGAAATGTTTACATTTATCTAATGGTGTGTCGACAATGCAAAGATGGTAGTGACATTTCATGAATGAATGTTTACACAAAGACAGAAAATCTGATTTTATGTTGCTTAGACATCAACAATTATTCTTTCAGGATATTTAGTCAACGGACGAATAATCCACATACTTTACACTAATTTCCACCCATTTGTTTGTTTTAGTTTTCATGATTGAGCCTCAGACATACCGGGATCCCAAGAATGCGGAAGAAACAATAAAAACTGGTGAGCAGTTTCATTAAGATCTTTACTTAGCTGCATATAAATGTCAGTCGAAAATAGATGGTCAGGTCTCTTTTCAATCAATACATAATGTTGCATTTCACGCATTTTGCAGATATTAGTTATGCTTATGAATCAAAGGTGAACTCGTGTACTCTTTGAGAATGACCAAGTAACTTGTTTGTTTTTCACCATGTGATGAAAATGGAGTGTACCTCCTGGTATGTGTATTGCACTAGAACAACAGTGACTGATCCTGATGCTTGAAATAACGTCTGTCGAGTGTGTGGCATGAAATCTTTTGCAGAGACCCCCTTACCTTCCTACCCTCACTGCTGCGCGAAATCTCATTTCTGCTTGGTGGTTTGAATTATATCTCTGAAATTCATGAACTCACTTGTGAGTGTAGTGGAAGATTCTCTGTGTGAATTGAATACTGATGGGAGCGACTAAGACTGGAAAAGAAGTCTGAGGTTGGTGTTGTCTGCTGCTGTCTTAGATTCTCTCAATCTGTCTTTCAGATTGTCATTATCGTTACTCTCCTGAGTACGGAGTGGAAAATAGGACACCGGCTGCACATCTCCATACCATCGCCCTCTCTGAAGTCCGTTGTGACTGGCTTCACAACTGTCTGATAACCTCTATTTTCGGCTCACATAATTTCTATCATGTCGCTAATAAAACAACCCTAACCCATCACATCTTCTCGTTCCACTCAACGAACTGGCGTTTGATATTAGTCTGTGGTTTCATCAACGCATGTACCATCGACCTTCATTGCAATTGTCATATTTGTTGATCTGAAGGTTCATGATTGGTTTGTCACCAAATGTCCATGTTGCTAATGTTTTGGCTTCCTTGTCTTCAGTACTGGTGCATCGAAGTCATGCATTGACGAAGGTTTGCAGCTGTCTGTTGTAAATGCTTTGTCAACACGATAAGCCTCTGAATCACGTAGTAGCATAGGCTTGACGTCAGCGTCACAGATCCAGATCTCATTCCTTATGCTGAGTGGAATAATCTGATCTACTGATTTGTAAGCTGTCAAATTCTGTCTTGCCTTTCTGATCTAAACTAGCTGCAACCTCCTCAGCCTTGCCGTCACGTGTAACTGAAACGATGCTGCCTGGATAAGTAAAGGAAATGACTCCCTTCACATTTCTGCTGTTGCTGCTGACTGGTCTGTATGTTGAGCTCATCACCTCTATTTCCCCTATGCTCATCTGAAGGCGTGTCTTCGCTGGGTGCTTCTTCTCTCAACGTTTTCGTCTTCACCTGCAGATCTTCGAGTTTGTGTGATATTAGACATAAACCCCCGGCTAAGTTCAAACCTTTTTGACTCTGCTTGTTACACCAACGTTTGACCATCCCCCTGCTGCTCATGGTCTCTAACATGGTGCAGTCGACCATAACCAGAAGTATCATTGGCGATCAGCCTCACTGAGCTTTCTGTTGCGAATCTAATTGCACTTGCCTTACTCGCGTAGTTGTCCGAAGCTCCATATTTCAAATGCTGTGTAAAATCTTTTCAAAGTCGATGAGTTTTAAGTGGATATTTGGTTAAAATCCTGTGCTTTCTTTCTTAATGAAGCGAGGCTCTGAGATTCAGCTAGTAGATGAGTTGCTTTTTATGAATGCAGCTTGTTGCTGGGGGAGTTTTGCGTTCATAGTATCATTCGGTCTCCCCACGATAATATAAGCTATTATTCGGCAGGAGCACAGCTTTAGTTGCTCTTCTTTGCATGTTTGACAAGGCCACCTATCTTTCTGATCAGCATGTAACCTTATGCACCATTGGCGTGAGTTTATCTGATGAAGTGCTTCCATAGGTATTCCATCTGATTCTGTCACCTATCCAGATTCTAGTAACATTGTGGTATTCGAAACGTCTGTCTTAGTTGGAGGATTGCTATTCACAGAGAGTACTGTTCCTGCTGTTGATGGTATTTCTAGGAGATTTGCAGTTGGTGGTATCTTTGAGAGTTCGAATCGTTTCTTCTCTTTTCTAGCTAACATCCCTTCACCATGGTTCCATTTGTGTTGTTTTTTTCTAGGATACTGATGTGGTACACTGATGAAGTAATCTTAGGTCTCCCTTTCCTGAAACATATTCTGTTTCACTCGTCAAGATGTCGCGTCTGATTTTCTTCTCGATTTTATGTCCTAAGATGCGGATGAGGATTATCTGATATTTGGGGTGTCCAGCCTGTGAAATATGTGTCATTTTGTGCATGCGTTTCGCATTGCTACCTGCAGTCAACAACTGCCTGAAGATATCGAATTACGCGAAAGGTTCACCGTCCACATGTTTTCACCCACAACCTCTAGACATATGAAAAGTCGCTGTCCTTTCTTGATTGTTTCCATTTTCTCATTCTGATGTTTCTATTTGGGGTCATGAACTTTACTACTTGCAGTGGTTTGCAGAATTTTTTCCTCTCCTTTTGGTCAACGTCAATTGATGAAGGATAGCGCTGGAAACCGTATTGTTGTGGATGTTGTGTGTCAGTGAGTGGATGTTCCCATTTCAAATTGAACGTCTAAACGAGCTAAAGGTATGGATTGTCTTTGTTGCAGGAAAGTGAGACACCAAAATTATTACCACCATCTGCAAAGGGAAATCATTTTACTCAGGGAATATTAAGAGGTGATTCATAATGGAGCATGAATACGAAAATGCAGTCGAAGTAAACTCAAGGGTGAAAATAAACACAATCCCATGTTTGATGTTGAACACTGAAATTAAAAATGAATCACTACAAAATGAAAAATCGAAATATTAGATGCATGAGTAGAACGACATTTGAGCTTATGAATCGTAAGGTGGATATAAATTGGTTTACAGAGCTTCTGGTTCTTTCAGTCAAAACTCATATAATCGAATGCTTACTTCTTCAGTAAATCTAACAGTAGCGAGCCTTTTGATGCATGGCGTACTCCCTGAAAATTGCAAATGGGAAATAAGAAATATACACTAGTCAAAATTCTCTCAACAAATAACTTGTTTCAGCCAACATTACATCATGCACTAATTTCGTGTCTTTTCCACATCAAACAGAAATCCTGAGACTTGAACGCTTATATCAAAGAAAATGGGAGAAGGAATTTCTCGAAAGTAAGTTCTGTCATCCAAACTCTTGATTCAATGATGTTCCTGAATCCGAATGCATGATGAATATAAACGTGAATTTTTACTAAAGTTAGACATGTTTGATTACGAATTGAAATGAATTGCAGTGCCATTGGAGATGACCAAGGAATTCAAATACTCCACAAATAAACATAAAAACTAGTATTTCGGAGAGTGACCTCTAGGTGTTACTAGGACAGAAAATTCTGTCAGCAAACAGACAGGAAAATTTTAAGGAGAATGAAGAATGCATTTCATATGCATATTTCGAAAAGTACTCCAGTACACATCTTTCCAATACGCATAGCATAAAATGCTGAATTTCAACATGAAATGTAACCATATTTGGTCCGTTGATTCACCTTTCAATAGTCTTTTCAATGAAAAAAATAATATAGTCTGACGTATGAGTTATGTAACTCCTCAAACAAGTTGCCTTGCTGTACTTTTCACATCTGACAAACCCTCAGATGCATTCCACATTTCCCTACTGTCCTCTTCTTACCATCCTTCCGAGTACAAATAAATAATTTTCCAAAATTATTTACACTTTTACAGCAATCAGTGCAGAAGACAAGTCGCTCGTGAATCTTGCTAACTGTAGGTTATTTCATCATGAATTATTAAACAGAGTATATGTGACAAAATGTTTTTGGTATCTGAAGACAAAATCGTCTTCTTACTGTTTGTGGAATGAACGTCAGCTTGAAATCATTTTGTGCGACATATGATATCGGAGATTTATATTCATATTTATTTTTGATTGCTAAGGCTAAGAAATGAAGCCGTTATCGCTCACCTTTACGAATGCAATCTAGTCTGTTTAATGAAGCATTTTAAAATGTTTCGTCAATTCAATCACTAGTAACGACGTATTCCGTAGTGATACAACTTCCTCCATCATTCACATTCTCTACAATGTCCTCTTCAAAATAACGGTCTTCAATACATACATGCTACAATAAAACAGCATGCATCATTAATAACATTCTGAATGTAGTCTATAGTTCATTCATATCTCAAGTCCATTGACATAGCTTGGAAACTTTGATTGTGTATTTCTACTTTATTTTCATCAAATGTCGGTTGAATAAATAAATCATCAGTTATACACTATGAAATTACTACTGTTATTCGTTCTTTGCCTTCCTGTATGAACCACTGAAATGCTCATTCCCGACGATATTTTGAATGGTTAACCTGAACATACCGTTGGAATACAATGGTTGTATAGACAGCCCTGTAATAACCTGAACTGATTCAATGAACTTGATGTTGAGAGGTATTTCGCATGCGACAAAATCATATGCCTGGTGAATGAAATGCATCAGGTTATGTGTCACGTAGCAGTGTAGGTAACGCGAACGATTTGCATTATTGTAAACGCTGTCAAAAGTCTTCACAAATTCGTTGAGGATGAGTTAAACATTTCACTGCAATTCTAGTCTGTTCGATGATGAATCACATTCAGGCAATCAGATCCATGTATGATTTTTCTTTCTTTAACTCAAACCGATCCCATGGACAACATTCATCTATGATATCTGTTGAGAGAGATGCACCTTACTATTCTACTTGGAGATGACATTTGGATGATAACGAAGATTTAGTACTGCTCGAATATAAATTAACCTAATTCACGCTTTCATACTATCTCAGTGTAGAAATACTGACTGTAGATTTTTGGCTATTTGAGGAATTAAATATGCACCAAACAACGCTTCTTTTCTATCTAGATGAATACAGGAAGGCATTGGAAGATGATAATGCTTTTCAGCACAACGTTTTTGGTATGACTAACTTTTCTAATTAGAATTTGTAAAATTACTTGATTAAAAATTCATTTGTTAGTTGGAATCAACTGACCATTTCTGTGAAAAATGTACACAACATTTTGAACTGGTGTTTTGCGTCAAGTCATCTTTTCAGTTTGGAATCCCACTTGCTTTTCAGCCATAACAATCGCACTTTTGTGAGGATAAATCTGATCGCCATTAGGACGTTTGTTACCAAAAGTCGGCTCTCCTATTTCTTTTTTAATATTGGTTTGTTACTAAGATCCACTGTTACGACAAATTACATTCCAGCGATATTCAGAAGATCTACGGGTTATTTGTCTATTGATGGATGACATTAACGTATCAACTGTTGATGTCCTTCACAGTCTGCATATGTGAAGTCATCTTGTGCCCTACTCTTACTCAGAAACATGACCACATTCACAATGTGTTATGCACGGCTTAGGTGAATTCACTGGTCAGTACTTGGAACTATGATGAAATCTGTTGGATGCATAAACTGAGTCATACTAAGACATCCAGATAGATTACCACTGTCACTATGTTCGAGGATCATTACGCAGCTCAAATAATAATCTGTTCACATCTGACAAAGCTTATGAGTAATAAGTATGCCATGTGAATTAATATTTATTCCTTCAGCTAATCATGGACGATACCATCAGCTGAAAATGCATATTTCAAAGAAATGGGAAAATCGAAAAAATCTAGATATTGCAGAAGGTAATAATTTTATGATTCCACTATTTAGAGAGGCAGTAGGGTATTTTATATTTTATAATAAAGAAAATATTCTTCTTCTGTAATTAGTTGGAGTGCGTGAGGCCACAAAATACTTCTCACTTTTACAGAAGACCAACCACAACACATCGGAGTTGCGATATTTCGTCTTAAACATCACACTCACGAGTGTGAATTCTGACTAATCGAGAGAGAAATCGTGATAAATCGCTTACTGATAGTTCCAAATTCAATCTCGCATGAATTGACGGCGTTGCATGAGAAAACATCATTCTGTAGGAGTGTTCTGCACTTTCTATTGATTGGTCTCACTGATTTATATTCACGATCGTGTGTATTTTTAGGCTTCTTGAATGTTCGCAATTTTCTCATCAGCTCTGTTATTCACACTTGATAGAGAATGATGAGAATACCTTGTGGTGACGCGCTACGTAAATAACAGAGAGTAGTTCATGCAATAAGCGACAGTAGGCAAACACCATCCATGTATTCACTTAGTCATATTTTGTCATTAGAATCAGTTGAAAACCGACTACTTTCCATCGGTATGTGAGTGAGAATACACTCACTCGATGGTTTGATAGCATTTTCTAACAAAGCTTTATACTTGGTAAATAAGTTTATTGTAGTGTCATTTGAATTGAAGTCAGCTGAATCCATCTTCAATTAAATTGATTATGATAATGTTGGATTCATCGTATACCTAGAAGTTGAGTGACATTGTTATGTATCAATTGCAGCCAAATTTTTTGCGGATACATCAAGCATTTTGAAGAAAGACGAAGGTTAGTTTTCTTTCACTTTGAAATTCATCTTCGTAACTTATAAACTGTGCTGAAATATCTGTCGTCATTTTGTGAATAGTAGTTCCTCTGATCTAATTATTATACATATTCACAACTCCACTGTAATGTGGTGATACTTATTAGTAATGCACCTTGTCTGAACATCTTTAATGACAACCAGATGCAGCAGCTAGTTGATTGTTCGACTCAATTCTGGAGTTGTTTGAATATGTAGGAGAGGTTTATCTACGCACTCAAACTCTCTGTCTGCTCAAATTCATTTTGCATCAGCATATGCAGTTCTGACACATAACACACCTCCTTCACAATATTGAACTCTACATAGGTGGAGTTCTATCGGAACTTTTTTCACAGAAAGATCATCTTGATGAGTAATACGTAATAAAATAATGACAATGAAAACTGTAGTTCACATTTTATCACGAAAAAGTACAAAGTGTATTGGGAGGTTTTACTATTATCTAGTATGAAACGTGTATGCGTGTAAACATCTATGCCTTACATACTATGGTTTACCCAAAAATATTGGACGGAATTATATTCACTCAGTGAAGTATCGGTATGACTGTAGTAAACAAGAGACCTGGTAAAGGGATATTTATTTGAAATTTGATGTTGCTGAATAGCCAAATTGCGTACAACTTATCTTCAAATCACCATTTGCAAAGATCTTCCTTTTTGTGCTACTTCTCTCCTTTATGTTGTGTTTCTTTGTATGTCTTCCATGTCTCCCATGTTGCGCCGGAACACTGAATCATTTGCTTTCCTTGATGTCAAATCCATCTCCCTGCTATTCGATGTTTTTTCTGATAAACGTCTTTTCATATTCTACTTATAAATCTTATCAGTAGCAAACGCCACGTCAGTACTTCACATGCAGACATTCCTCAAAATGTAGCATGTCCTTATAATTACAAAGTGTAACTTTTTGAAACTATTAACACGATTATCCATTCAATGATTTCACAAAAGTTTAATATTCAAAGCAAACGATTATTGTCCCGTAATGGACAAAGTCTAGGCAACATTGAATATTGGCATGAACGCAGTATAAGTGCAGCTTACAAATAGAGAAGGCATTTGCTTTGCTGATGTCAGTAAATACTCAAAATATCATGTGGTAAGATGGACATTATCAACAGGAAAACCATCAAATTGTGACAGTCAGTAACCATTGAGTAAATATGATCACTTCACGTTGAAGAATAGACAGTGAAATATTTCATACCTTTCGATACTGTGAAATTATAGCTAAGAGTGGAATAACAAAGAAGATTTTCGAAGAAGAGAAGGAAGCAGTGAATACAACCAAAGGTAAAATTATAAACTATAATTATGAAAATTCACTCGCCATTATTTTTATAGTTAGTCGTTAAGTGCCCCATTTACTCATCAGTAACACACATAATAACTAAGGTCTATTAGATATCCATAAACTAGTAGTACAATAACTTCTCAGAAATATAAGGAAGGTAAGTTCCATCACAGATGAGTCAGTGCTCCTTTCGTGAGGAGTGGATTAAACGTTTCAAATCTAATATATTCACTGTGTTGTGAGAAGGAACGTGTTGAGAAGTAATCAAATTATTATGACACGTTTCTGAATCGTCAGTGTATTGTATTCATCATGATGACGTTCAATTTTCTTGATTAACGCTTTACATATTATTCGCACTTCTTGTTTTCTTGTATTTATTATTATTGGTTTCTTTCGTTCTAAGAGGAACATAGGGATTCAGTCGCACGTCTTCATTGCGTTCGGTTATCCGTCAGCGTTTTCACCTGGCTCCACATCCGTCCACATGCTTCTATTTCCACTTCACATGACCTCCTTGATGTCACCCTCGCAATGACGACTAACTCGCCGCCTTACATTCGCGTTCCACTTGAGGGCCTGTCTTGTGATATCACTTGATGCTTTTCTCAGAGTATGGCCAATCCATCTCAATTTCTTCCTGCCTATTTGTTTCACAATCGGTTCCTGGTTGGTTCGCTCCGAAATATCCCTGTTGCTGCCCTTTTTTAGCTGGCCATCTGATCTTGAGTATTGAGCAAAGACAACTGTTAATGAAGGTCTGTAGTTTGTTTGAGATGCTCTTTATGACGCGATGGCCAAGTCTTTGATCCGTACAGTAGCACTGATTTCACATTGGAGTTGAAAATCCGGATCTTATTTTTGATGCTGAGTGTTGTTGACCTCGAAACAGACTTGAGAGTAGTGAAAGCTTGTCTTGCTTTTCCGATTCTTGCTTTGACATCCTCGTCAGTTCCACCTGTAGTGTAAACGATGCTTCCCGGATAGGTAAAAGGGGTTGCTTCTTTCAGATTTCTCCCATTTATGATGATTGTTGTCTATTGTTGCTTCCGATGTTGTTGGCCAGAAATCTTCATAATAAACGTCTTTTTTCTCTATATTCACCCAAAGCAACTCGTATTTTTGATGCTTCTTCTGCAAATTTATTGCTTTTTACTTGCATATTTTCCGGTTTGTTAGAAATCAGACGTATATCATCGGTGAAGTTCACATCTCCCACGTTTTTCGTGTGGGTACATTTTGTGCCTGATTCTTCGCTGTCTGCCACTGTCTGTTGCGTAATCTAGGTCACCGCAATCAGAGAAATCATTGGAAACCGTAGTCAGCTGGCTTGTCTTACTCATATTTTCACTATGATGGATTCCGTGAGTCTCCCGTTGTGAATAACTTGGCACGCAACACTGTCACACAACTGTTGGATGAGATGTATATTTTTTGGCGGCAACCTGTAGTAGCGAAGCATTTGCAAATCACTTCTCAATTGACGCTGTCGAAGGCCTTTCCAAAGTCAGTGAAGTTGAATTGAAGAGCCGACTGCCATTCCGAGCTCTGTTCAGTGATGATCGTAGTGTTGCGATTTGTTCGATGCATGAGTTGTTCATCCAAGTCCAGCCTGTTCCGGTCGACGTTTTCAATCCAAGGCGTGTTTGATTCTCTCCTGGATGATGTGGCTTAGTATTTTGTTTAGGATGGACAGGTACATTGACTTAAGTCTCCTTTCTTTGACAGTTTGAATACGTAGCCTTTCTTCCAGCTCGCAGGTACCTCTCCCTCTTTCAATTCCTTCCCCAATACTGGTGTCGTCATGTCCACTGGTGACTCTGGGTCCATTTTTGATACCTCCGCAAGGATGCCGTCTGATGCTACTGCTTTTCCAGTTTTTAGCATCCTTATTGCCATCAGGATTTCTCTTCTTGTCGGAGGGTTGAAGTCTACTGGTAGTGGTGCTGTTTCCGCTGCTGTTGTTATTAGGCGCGTTGTAGGGGGCAGTTAACTCAGAAGTCTTTTGAAGTGTTCAGACCAGTGTTACCTTTCCACCACCTCTTTGCTGATGGGCTTTCCATTGTTGTCTTTCACTGACCTAATTTGTGGTAAACGTTTCCCCAAGTTGTTTGATAGAATGTTGCGAGGTCACCTGTGCCTACAGGCTGTTCTACTTCACTTGCCATAGTTTCGTGATAACATCCTTTTTCTTTCCTGGTTGTTTGATTTACTCTTTTTATCAGTGCAGTGTAGCTTGCATTCAACTCCTGTTTTTGTCACTCATCAACACACTGGACAATCATTTGTTTCAAAATCCTTCTCTCCTCTGTTATTCTCCATGTGTCCGTAGTGAGCCATTGTTTGTCTTGTCTCTTCTTTCTGCCTAGAACGTTCATGCAAGTTTGACTTCACACCGCTTTCATGTCGTCCCAGTGCTTTTCAACGCTGATCTCTTCGATAGTGTTGATTTGTGTCTCGTCTTTTTTCCTTACGTTTGCAGTTAGGTTGTTCTTTGTTTCCTGATCCTTCAGATTTTAAGTACTGAACTTGGCTTGTTGTCTATCTGCAGCTTCTGTTTCCTTGAAAGTTTTTAATTTGATTTGGAATATTCCTTAACCTAGATAGTGATATGAGCCAACGTCTTCTCTTCCTCTTACTTTTGTGTCCAGTGGGCAGCGCCTTCACTTCCTTGAGATTGAGATGAAGTCAATTTGGTTTTTGGTTCGCCCATCTGCTGACACCTATGCAGCCTTGTGGATATCCTTGTGTTTGGATACGCTGTCGCCAATCACTAGTTCATCGAAGGTACAGGAGTCAGCGAAGAGTTCTTCATTTTCACTGCATTCTCCGAGAGCTTCTCTACTCAGGATAAGTTCTCTTCCTGTGTTGTCTGGTCCCAGTTTGACGTTCATGTCTCCCATTAGTATTTCAATGTCACCGACTGCAGTACTGTCCAATGTTGCCTGCAGTTGTCTGTATAACTGTTCTTTATTTTCGAGGTCTGTATTATTTGTGGGTGCACAGCATTGTATAATTGATTCTTACCTTCCCTTTGAGTTAAGTGTGGTGGTCATTATCCTGGGTGAGATCGCCTCCCATTGTATGAGTGTCTTTATTGCCGCTGATGACATCATGATAGCTAAACCCTCGGTGTGATCGTGGTTGTCTTCTGGATGGCCGAGATAGATCACCGACTTTTCCGTTGACAATTTGATGAGTCCACTCACATTGTATCTGATTACGCATATTATCAATACTTGACTTCCGTATCTTTTCAGGTAGTTCACAATCTGAGCAGCTTTGCCAGTCTCGTACATGGTGCGGACGTTCCATGTCTCCACATAGAATTTTTCTTTTGTCGCAAGGAGACTTATCGTGCTGAAGTTTCTGTAGCAACTGCGTTAACAGGGTGTGATTGCTAGCCTCATGCCTGAGAAGAGGTTGTTGCATGAATGTATAGTTTAGAGAGGAGTGACTTTTGGGTTGCTCTCAATCGAATCAAGAAAACAAAGAATTAAGCAATCAAGACAATATCAGCAAAAGGAAAAATGTTACAACAGGAAGGGCAGTGACAACAACAATACATAAAGCCATAGCAACAGTATCACTTGCATAAAAAATGGTTAACAACAGTGATATCAAAACCATAGACTCACTGACCTGGGTCAAAATGAGTATATAAGTCTAACAATGTATACTGCAATTAAAAATATTAGATAGTGTTAAACAGTTACAATATGCTAAATAGATGGTTATTGGTTTTATCAGTCAACAAGATTCTATCCACAGATTCAGTGTTCGAAAGTCAAATAATTAAATAAATTCCACAACTTCATGGCAAGAAACGCCAGGGAAATTAAAGTTTTATGTATCTGAGCAAATATGGCGCACTAATCGAAAAGCGTGTCAAGGTTGTTTTTTCTCTTGTTTTCTTAGCTGACCTTCAAAAGCTGCAAAAGGCAGCGGTCATCGCATCTAATGCATACAGAAAGACTTCAAGTGAGTAAATATATTCATCAATTTGATTAGTGAACTTTAAAGCACAATGAAGCTGTGGACAGGCCTGTACGATTCACCATTTGATGAACAGGGTGGTGACTCAGCTGTACAAATGACGTGAAGCCAAGATCGACTTCAACCTTTCTTTACAATGGAAAGCAGAGAGAAGAGTAGATCAAGCGTCCATCTTCTCAAAATATGGGTATAATAATTAAAAAAAGATGACATTGACTGCAGAAGTGGTATCGTTTGCACTGTGGCAGAATATAATTCGATATTAAATTAGTCCAGTGAATATAACACATATTGTCTCAGTATTCATAACTGGAAGACGTTTCTAGGACTATTTATCTCTCATAATCAAATCATATTATTGTATTATTATTTCTTAGCATATTTGCAGAGTATAAGGAAAGGAAATTACAAAAATGGTGAGTGACAGTTTTGACCTGCTTAAAATATTTTGAAGTTAAAAAGGTGTTCATCACCAAGCTCCATGCGATTCCTCTTTGATTGAAATTAGTCACAATTCTACATCAAAGAACTTCAGAACTCCACGTTCAGCAGACAATGAATTCATCATATTTTGATGATGGTGACTAGCTCGGTGCTACAAATGATGAAAAATCTCACTGTCAACAAGCAAACATCAAATTAATTATGAATAAATATCAAGAAATTATGACATGGTATTTTGAATTGTAAGCGACTCGTTTTTGAGGATCTCAAGTTTGAAGATCATGTGAAGGCAAAGACAAGAGACCAACCAGACGATCAGTAAAAGTAGGAATATACTCACTAATTGGAAATTCAAAGTGCGCAAATTACTGACACATATCTCACCCCACAATGAATGTATTTGCATGAAATAATTCCTTTCAGTATTGTCAAGTATGTATGCGACTATGAATTTGATGACGAGTCATTATTCCTTTCAGAAACACCGAATGATGCTGAAATTACGCAGGCGTATTGGAAGGCTCGTTATGATTTTGACAACGGCACAAGTAATTTTACATAGTTATTTGATTTGACCGCATTTCATATTTAATAGTTATATTGATGGATGTACTTCAAGAGACAGAAGTAGTCTGTGTGGCTGATGACGTGTATATTATCAAGTTTTGTATTCCCTAATTCCACATACGGCTATATCATTGACAAAATTAGCAACATTACTTGTCACACTTATATTGGAATCTGCAAATTGTTGAACAGTTAGTGAGAATCACGGCTGAAATATCTATGCACAAAAGCGTCGAGTCTACTGCTCATATGGTGTTATTTTCATATTATTGAAACACGCAAAACTATTCCGATAAAGCTTCAGTGACTTCATCAAGGAATCATAGAATAAAGCCAGAAAAGTTTATCACATATTTTGTGAAGTTCAAAATAACAGTTAACCTCGTCTAGATTACTAGCTCGCTAGTTTTCTAGCCGGTCCCAAGCCCAGATAATGAATGAGGGTTGAGGCGTGTTGCTAGCAACTTCACCCTCGCTGAGGAGGCTGCTGGGTGACATCGGGCGTCAGGCCGTCGAGTGTTACCCGAAAGTTAAGTAGCGAGTGGACGTTCAAGAGTGACATGGAGGAGATCGTGTGAAGAGAAGCTAAAACAATATGGATTAACATGGATGCAGGTGAAAAGTACAGCAGAAGACAGAAGCAAGTGGAGACGTGCAGTTGAAGCGTTATGTTCCACTAGGAACCCAAAGGAACAATTAAAATAATAATAAAATAACAGTTACATGGAGACTACATGGTATGATCGTGCATAATTGGCTTTATTTCATAATAATACAACGGTGTAATGTAACATTGAAAAAGGTACTAATGCATTATTGAAAATCTATTCACTGTTTCAGGGATACTACTGAACAAAATAAAACAATTAGAAATGAGCCGGATTGAATTTTTAATGTGTAAGTTGAAATATTGAAATGATTTACAACTGACTAGTTCAAACCCCAGAATACAGAATAAACTGGCTCCTGGATGAAATGAAGGAAGATGCCAAGCAGTATTATTGAAGTAAGTTTTTACTTAGATCCTCAGCGTGTTTTAAATTACTAACTAACTGCACAAGTGAATATGAACTTGAAGATGGATTTCGAGGTTAGCTGAAATCAGCTAGATGAATTTTTGAGTAACAATGAATTTCTCTTCACTCGCATTTCTTGATTACTCATCAGTGAACAGGCACATGATGCCCGAGCTACTGGGCGATCGGCCATATGATCACAGTCGGTGGCTGCACCCAATATCAGGTTTGTAACAACTTTTGAGAACATCGTAAATTATAGTAGTGCTTCGCATAGCTGATTTCCTGTGAGGGGAATTGTAACTTGGAATCAACCAGTTAATGTACACACTGAATATGTGTTTCAATATACACTGGAACTAATGCTTTATGACTAGTGTCATTGTTTGTTAGATGAAAATTGGGGAAAATAATTTCTGCTATACAAGATACGTGTCTAGTTTCAACTCACTGTTGCTCTATTTCTGGTTTCATTCTGTTTCAGCTGCAGGAAAGTGAATTCGATTCCAAGGGAATTCAAGCAATATTGGTGAAGGGAATAAATTGTTTACTTATCTCTTTTTGTTTTTTGATGACTTCGTCAAGAAGAAAATTTTCTTCTATGCAACAGTCTTTTAAATAATTCTTTTTGTTTAATTAAATATAACATTTTTCTTCGTAAGATTTTGTTTCAATTGGCGTTTTCTGTCTTTATAGTACAGTGGGTTACATGCAAATGAGGAAGCTAATTAAAACAAATAGGCTCACTGACTGTGCATGACTCTAGTATTATTAGTACGACTGACGAAGTGTATTGTTTAGCTGAGAGGAAATGTCAGTTCGGCGAGGCGTAGATATTTGCCAAAGACTATAAAGCGCGTATACGCATCATAATACGACGTGAAGAATAGAGAAATTGTGCGATAGATAGAGAAAGAGATAGTGTGTGAGAGGGAGAGGGGGAAAAGATAAAGAGAGAGTTTTTATTGGAGTGTGAGAGTGAAGCATTGATAGGTATAAGTACGGTGAGGGTGTGTGATTCAATCTGTTTTCCCCTCTAATCTTCGTGAGCTTTAAACGATAATGCAGTGAACGTTTTCTCATCAAAGTGAGACTGTTGAGGACAGAATTAACCCAAGAGCTTATAAAGATGTTATCACGAGAGGAACAGCTCATGTTCATCATTGTTTGTGTAATTCACATGTGTGCGTGTCGTGTTTTCGTTACACGGAGAGAGATACATTGAGATGGATAGACAGATAGAGATAGTGCGTGGGCGTTAGTGAGTGACACAGAGAGAGAATTGTGAAAGTATCTCGCACTGTTAAAAAGTATGCCTAGTCTCTAACGGAATGCAGCGCAGCCTGATACGCTATCCCATCAACAACACACCCATCGTTTGCTACGCTAATTTTCCTATTAACAACTGGCTTTCTATGCTTGTGATTTGTAAGCACGATGCATAGCACTATCACTCCTACATGTGCCTCCTAGTGACATTTGTCCGGTTGAGTGATTATTGAATTCTCAGTACTGTGGCAGTTAGTCGAAGGCTTTCATATATTTTGTGGCCATTATAATATTTGATTTCGGTCTCCTATTCATAAATATGAGTATATATTTGAATCGACAGCAGTTGACTTAAGTCTTTCACTGGCTCAATCGATGAAGGTATCAGGTCTTCAGTTTGCGTGAAGGTGGATTTCAAAGTGAACTCAATTGTCCATTGTATGCTTAAATACTATGTGTTATTCTAAGTTACTTATAGCAATCCGTTCTGTAATAATTTTGCTTTCCGAGTTCGTTCAATTGATTTCTAAATAACTGATAATTGGGATTGTAATTTTTATCTGGCGTCTTACACAACTTATCATTAGTCAGTAGGTTGAGATATTGCATGATTTTCTTCAGCACTATCATTGGTATAATTAGTGATTTCATTGCTAAACAAGGGGCCACTTTGAGGAAAGTAGAAGTGAACTTCTTGTTGAAAGAACAATATATCAGGAATATAAGTAACATTGAAACATGAATTTTCATCGTTAATCAATACGAAAGAAAACTTGGGCAGGGCAGAATATCCTTTACGATAATTTCCTACCCCTCTGGCTGTACAATTTTATGTATGCATCTTTATATAAAGAGACTATTATTCTAGAATAATCGTCGTTAACAATATTGGTGCCTTTTAAATACTATCGATTTGTTAATATAACAATGGAATTACAGACAGTTTGAGAAAGATGCATAAGTTATGATAATGATCACAAAACTGTAATGGTTAATAGAATATGAAATTAAATGAAGGAAATCTCTATAACAACAAATTAAGGATCATTAATAAATTGCCTGGTGGTCAAAGTTGGGAGAGTGTGTGAATCGACTACTTCTGGATACATAAGTTAGAATTCCTAATGTATATCTCAATATGGAGAAGATGAACTCTTGAGATATGACAGATCACTTTGAAGGCCTCCTTGTTCACATCCCTCTCGTCTTCTGTATCCAAAAGATGAGTGAGATAGTATATGGCTATGAATGGATTTTGTTTGTCCTTTACTTAACTACTGTGCAGTATGATGTTAGAAACTCCAACGATAAACACACTTAATTGCACTTACAACTAACTGGCTCACTCCACAGCAAGTGCAATCAAATTATTAGATACACATAGAAGAGGAGAAATAAGGCAGTGTGTCTTTAACTCCTGAACGCAAAATACGGGTGGGTGGCTCTGAAGACACAGCATAATTCAGCACCACTGAATGCTTTCTGTACCGCCGTATTACTAAGGTATTGTGTTAATATCACACTGATGTTACCATCACCGAGGAACTGAAGTTGTGTGAAAACGGTCTATTTCGGAACAGTTGATTTTTGCTTTGGCCTGCCTTGACTTTTGATTCATATTCTTATCGATGCATTTTTCTGTATAATCGTTCTCACTCAGCAACCGTTTAATAATATTAAACTCCTCATTGAGATTGCTCTTACTCTGTGGTGAAAAAAGTACTTTATCACACTGCGTTTGAACTTCAAAGGTAGGAAGCTGAAATAATGAGTATACTGACAGTCAGTTGATGTAAGTTTTCTAATAACACTTCTTCTTCATTGCCTGATTGCACGGCCTTCTTTTGTAGTCATAAGGATGTCTACCGAGTGAATGGCTGGAGTCTTTTGTTTTCTTGATACTAATATTTTTTGCATGATGAACATGGTTAAATTTGTCAGTGAGTGTTCTTTTGCTTCATCCTCATTTCTCATAATCAAAAATGAATCCTCAATACCTCCTTTCTTTCTTCTTTCGTATTCCTTTACGTTCCCAGTGGAATATAGGGCTCCAAGTTAGAGGCCTGAAGTTTCTGTAGCGGTGTTTAATTTTACAGGACGGGGTTGCTAGCCTTATGCCCAACCTTTCCTCTTTACCAGTCTTATTACTGGCTTAGCGAGGTGAAGGAGTGCGTCGGCCGGTGATTGAACCCCGGATCATGTGCATGGTAGGCGAGCTGAATACCTCCAGTTCAAGTAAAATAATTTTTAAGTCGTTAATGATTCATATCAGCTATGATGTTTGTACCTTCAATCGATCATGTATGCTTTCTGTTGGTTTTTGTAAAGAGCCTCCGTACATTTATTATCCCTGATTGGATGAAAGAGATTTCTTCCCGATTTCACTTCAGCGTTATTTGTTCAAATTCCTTTTCCATATGTCACTTACAGGACCACTGGAAACGACGGGTAGGTGGATAGTGCTGGGGTTGTTTGTACTGGACGACTCTTTCTTCCACTCTTCAGTGATTCTCTAGCTGATCCTAGCTCGCAACAGGAACATAATGATATATAGAAATAATTTCCTAAATGTCCGTCTTACATGTCTGTTGGTATTTCCCTACAACTCTCAACGAAAAGAGACTATTTGCTGAGCTACTGGTCTTCTGTCACACAATACATAGAGCCCTTGTAATCCTATTGGTTATTCGCCATCCTAATTCAAGAACGACATGAGTGCTTCTCAAGGTCCTTTAAAACATATTCATATGTATGCAAGCGCTGTCAACGTTTTGGTAAACTGTTGTTTTCAGACAGTGAAAGCTCTCTTATCAACTTTCAGTCTTCTCTTCTGTAACTGCGGCCCGGTGGTGTTATTGTTGTTATTATTGACGTGCGATCAGCACAGATAACCCAGGTCATTTAGTTTGCATTTGCTAATGGTCTACTAGGTTGCAGTCGCAGTCATCACACATAGTAAAAACTTCGTGTTAATTCTCATCGCGTTGATTCGCATCACCTTTATGTGACCCCTCTAATTAGGAATTTAAAGTTTCACCCAAAAACCATTTTCCAATAACCACCGTCATAATGATAATGATAGTAATAACGTTGTCAGACGAAGAATATTCACATTTTTGAAAGCCTACTCGTCATCACAATCATCATCAGATTCTGCACAATTTTGTATCCATCCATCCATAATGGCGAATGAAGGAATTAGTGTTATGAACAGTATTAATGTCGTTGTTTAGAATAACATCGAATCAATCGTTAGCAGTAGTGATAGTAGGAATAGATTACAACTGAAAATCATCTGTAATTGTAATCATTCTGAATCAACATGACACTACACACTAAATGAATATCAGAAAAATTAGGAAAAGTAACAATAATAATAATAGTAATAATAATACGAATTCATGAATTTATAGGCTGCAGAAAGAGAAAGGCCGACCAGCGTAGTAGAAGTATTGGTGGCTGGCTGGTTGGATGGACTTTTTTCTTCTACACATACACACATAGAGTATCGGTCGTTTCAATAATAATGATTCGGAGAGAAACACAGTGAAAACTCAGTTCAATGTGGTGTACTCTGCTGTTAACAGTTTCACATGTGAATAGGAATCCTAAAATAGAATGAATTGTCTTCCAAGATGCCCACCTTAAAAGAAAACCAGATTGCTACACAAAGAGAAATTTGCATATAGGAACAGGACAATATACACATTTTCATTGGTTCCTTTCTCTCCAGAACAAAAGAAACTTAGTAAGGACCCTCACTCAGATCCAGGGTCAGAATTATATGCTCAAAGAATGTCAATGAAGATGAACTTAGCATAGCATATGACACTCTGATTAAAAATTACTATCCAGAAAAGTTTATCAAGAAGCATATGACCAAGAAAGTAGAACAGGAGTATTCATTATCCGTGAACAAGAAGCATTTATACATATACGACTGCAATTCAAGGAGGATATACCTAGCGAAATAATTACAAAGAAGTTAAGAAAATCTAATCAGAGGAATATTAACGCTGGCAAGCAACTGGTTGTATTGTCGACACTATCGGCGAGGATTCCTTAATTGAAAGATGAAGTACTTGAATTAGCTGATCACCTCTAATCTTACCTATCAATTCAACTGCGTTTGCGGTGGAGCAAGTAATAATGGCCGATGTTCTTAGAACTTGATTTTTGTGCTCACTCGGTTAAACTTAAAAGTGTTGTGTGGCTGAATCGAGGCACGCTTGAAAACACCAGAAGTTATATATTACACTGCTTGATCCAAACCGACAGGCCACACAGCCAGTATTGAATAACCCTTTTCCATCATCACCTATCAGCTATTACACAAATCGACAAAAGCATTCAGGAACCAATTGCAACCATCCATCAAACCAGCCACTTCTACCACTACTATTAT